CATCATTCCTTATAAACTACAACACAGGACACTGGGTAACATCATTCTTCATGATTTTGCTGGTCATTCGGAATACTACTCCAGTCACAGTGCTGTGATTGAGAATCTGTTACAAGGTTCTGGTGGTGTGTTCCTGATAGTAGTGAATATATTGGAGAAGGAAGCAGTGAAACAGCTTCATCAGTGGCTAACAGTTGTGAGAAATGAAGCACAGAAAGCTCTTAATCAATGCCATGTCATTGTAATAGTCAGTCATGTGGATGAGATAAGTAATCCTTTTGAAAGGAGAAGGAGAAAGGAAGAAATACAGGAGATTATTGTAAGGGAAAGGTGTGATAGTGTCTTTTTAGATTGTCGTAAGCTTGGTGGGAATGGTATAGATTCCTTCTTTAATAAGTTGTGTAGTGCCTGTGAGTCCATTCGTAGTACAAGTGGAAGGAATTTGAGTCTTTATTGTCACATGATGTATGGTCTACTGGAGGAAAGGAAAGAGAATATACTGACCCTCTCTGATGTAATGTCTGCTGGTAAGGACAGTGATGATTACTTTATACCAGATAAGAGAGAAGACGTCTTTGATGTTCTTCATTCATTGCACTCAACTGGTTTGATCAGTGTTATTGAAAGTGAAGACAAGGTATGGGTTGTTGTGAATAAGGGTATACTACTAACTGAGGTGGATGGGATTCTCTTTGCTCCGAAGACATTCAAAGAACACGTTGACATTGCTAGCAATACTGGTATTGTTAGTGTGTCTGGTCTGACTAGACTCTTCCCTAAATATGATCCTGACATGTTGATTCGTTTTCTAAAGAACATGGAACTCTGTCAAGAAATTAATCCATCTTTCCTAAGAATGACAAACCTCCATCAGTTAGCAGTGGAAGAGGAGGAGGAGGGAGGGAGAGAAAGAAGAGGAGAAAGGTTGTTGCACTTTCCATGTCTTTTTTGCAGTGATAGACCTGATGAGATGACTAGTGAAGTGTACCAGTTCGGTTGGTGTCTACAGTGTACTAGTAAACATCATTTCTTTCCTCCTCGATATTTCCATGTCTTCTCATTACGTCTTGCTTACAAAATGGCTCTACCTCAAGAAGATGACAAGTTAAAGCGATGCTGTACATTTTGGAAGAATGGACTTTATTGGTCTAATAGCTATGGTGTAGGATCAC